TCGCAGGTGGTGTTTCTTTGCTTATGGGAGATTCTACATCGTCACTTTTGGGGTAGATATTTGCCGCGTATGCTGCATAAAGATAATTCTTTGAATAGGATGGGCATACAAGCGTGGAAACATGAATACTTGCATCCTTTGCTGCTGCAATGGCATGTGAACAAGGTATCTTCTCAATATCAAACACACCACATTGACATCTTCGATGCTCCAAGTCAACAACACAATCTCGATGTCCTCCTTTCACCAAAAATCGCCACCCATCAATACGTTCCACATCCATCATATGTGCATACTCTTCACGAATAGCCAATAGAGTTTCAACTGCCCTACTATGATGTGTAGTGAGACTCAAATCATCTTCCCTCCTTTTAAAGAACCACCTTCCCAGCTTCTCGCGTATAAACTCAAGAAGGAATGAGATGGGGAATCCTCTGGCTGGCTTAAGTGCAGAGTTGATCGATTCTGCGATGTTGCCAGTTTTAATGTTGTATCTGTCACCTTGAAAGTGAACTCGTGACCATAACGAGACGTCAGCTTCCTCCAAATATGTTGCAAGGCTGGGGTTTATACTCCTTATCTCGTCCATGTAGCGGTTAAAATCGAATAGAGTGTGTGCATAAGCAGCGCCTTTGACCAAGTACAACATGTGCTTTCCCTTGAACCTATTGACTATGTTTTGTTGTAGATGATAATAGCATATTCCTCGCTGTGCCCAAGGGAAAATCTTCTCACATGCCTTCTTAATGGAACCGTGCCTGTCAGAAACTATCACTAAAGCAATTGGTAAAAAACCATTCCCACGAAAGATCATTCTCCGCATCCACAATCGCAAAAGCCAATGGAAAAATATTAAAATTACCATCTTGGGCAGCAGCAACTAGCATAACTCTTCATACTTTCCACTTAGATGAGTCCCATCCACCACAATAACCCTCCTAAGATACTGAAAACCAGCTATCGAAGCTCCAAAAGATAGGAACAGATACTTAAATCGGTTATGTCCATCTTTCTCAAGACATGTGACGGTTCCCGGATTTGATTTCTTGATCTGACGCAAATAAGAAGGCAGATTCTCATATCCATCCTCTGTTGTTCCCCTCACCAACACTTGGGCGTGTAGTAAAGCTCGGTAAGAAGTTGTGTAATCTAGCTTCAGCCCAAACATATTCTTCATCGCATCTTTGATATGCTTCGGTGTAAGCCCATCTATAATCCCCACTCGATCTATAAATAGACTAGCAACATATTTCGGAGTATACTGCTTCCGTTGAGCCATTCGATCCCCCACTGAACATGTATGAGTGTTCAAATATTTTGTCA